AAATAACCATGTCGATTGACTTTGGTAAGTGGATAGAGAGAGGAGAGCGACCTGGGCTTAAAGATGGTGATCTACGAACGTTTGTTAAACAACAACTGAACCTAGAGAGAGAGAAGAGTATAGGCAGAGAAGAAAGAGAGAAAGACTGAAGGGAGAAAAGGAAAGAGAGGAGAGACTGAAAAGCTCACCCAACAGCAAGACGAAGGATTCAAGAATGACAATGGGGTCAGGGCCAACTGAACCAAGATGCCCAACTTTTATTAACAGAAATACGATATAGATGCTTTCCTGGAGAGGTGTGAAAGATTCGCCCACAGTCATAATTGGGACAAATGTGACTGGGCAGTCTGTCTCAGCCCACTTCTCACAGGTAAAGGCTTACAAGTATATGCAGGCATCACATCAGAAGATGTCATGGATTATGATAAGTTAAAAGTGGTGTTATTGAAATTCAGAGAAGTCAGACCAGACACTGGAGAAACTGTATTTCAGTTTGTAGCACATCTGCGGCGTTATTTCACCAGACAGACTGATATTGCCAGGTGTGAAAATAGTTTTAAAGGACTGGCAGATCTACTAATATGTGAAAATTTTATGATCACATACTCCACTGACATGTCACTGTTCCTAAAGGAGAGAGCACCAAAAGACGTGGATGAGATGATCAAGCTGGCGGAAGTCCATGGCGGGAGTATAACTAGCAAGTCCAAGAATAACCAGTTAAAGTTGAAACCAGGGGGGCTGACCAGAAACAGGAGTCACCAAAGGTGGCAAGAACTTAACAGACAAAATGGAGATACTATATGTGTTATAAAATTGGGCATATTGCATGTGAGTGCAAGTCTGTCACCAGAAAGTAACAGCAGAAATTTCATCATATAGCAGCTTGAGCTATCTACAAAGATGATGCTGCCAGAAGAAACTGAATAAAGACAACTTAGCAGATTGATCACAAGAAGGGTTATCACCATAATTAAACAGTACATGATTGATGGTGAGCTAAAATGAGCAAATGTATCAACAGTGGCAGTAGTGATAGAAGCATATGACAAATATCAAGAGGTGCCAACCCACAATATGCTAGTAGGTGAAGGTTATGTCGGGGAAAAGAAAATGAAAATTCTATGAGACAAGTGCAGCAGTGAGAGCCAGTTTACTATCTAATGACCAGATGACAGGCAAAGGTATGTCTATGTGTGCTGATTGATGGGACAGTGAAAAATGACAAACATCAAGAGGTGTCAACCCACAGTAGGTGAAAGTTATGTCGGGGAAAAGAAAATGAAAATTCTATGAGACAAGTGCAGCAGTGAGAGCCAGTTTACTATCTAATGACCAGATGACAGGCAAGGTATGGCTATGTGTGCTGATTGATGGGACAGTGAAAAAGTTTTTTCCCATAGCAAGAATAATGGTAGACACTCCATACTACGTGGGAGACCTTGAGGCCATGTGTATGAAGTCACCAATCTAAGACTTGGTGATTGGAAATATACCAGGCAGTGTAACTTTGGAGGAACCAGACAGAAGGAAGACTGTTGAAGTATCTACAGTCACCACTAGAGCTCAAGAAAAGAAAAGCAAGTAAGACATCAAGCCTCGAAAGGTGATATCCCGAATGTAGGTTTACAGGAACTGAAGGAAGCACAGAAAAAAGACCACTGACTGCAGAAACTTTGGGAGAGTCTCGAAAGATGACATCTCAAATTTAGGTTTACAAGAACTGAAGGAAGCACAGAAGAAAAACAATTTATTTCAGAAACTTTGGAGCAGTGCCAAGAGAAAGTAGAGCACAAGACAAAGGACTTAAGGAAGAAGGATTGTAAGAGAGTGTTGTACCAGATATATTAAGGTAGTTATTCTTGGAAAGTTAAACAGATCAAAGTACCAAGAGAATACTGGAATAAAGTGATGAAGTTGACTCAAGAGTTGATTGCGGGAGGACACCTAAGAGCATAGAGAATGGCAGATATAATCACCAGCAAATTCCATTGGCCAGGTGTCATTGGAGATGTGACCAGATTCTGCAGGTCATGTGTCATCTGCCAAAGGATGATACCTAGAGGAAAGTAACCAAGGTGCTACTGGGTGAGATGCCTCTCATAGAAGAGCCATTCAGCAGTTTAGCTGTAGACTTGAATGGACCACTAGCACCTGTACCTGACAAGAGCAACTTGTATTTGCTGACAGTAGTCGACAATGCATAACACTGGCAAAGATAGATGCAGAGAGAGTAGCAGCAGCCCACCTGTAAGTGTTCTACAGAGTAGGATATCTGAGTGACATAGGAACCCAGACTACTTCAGAACTGATGCTTGTTGCAAGAGTGTGCAGACTCATCAGCACTAGGCAGCTTTCTACCACCCTGTACAACCCTAGATGTAATATACTTGGTGAGAGAGTAAACATTCTTAAAGAGCATGCTGAATTTGTGACAAGAGAGACCACATAACAGGGATAAGTTCCTGCAGCCAGTATTATTTGCTTACTGAGAAGTCCCGCAACAAGTACAGGAGTTTCACCCTTTGAGTTACTGTACAGAAGAAAAGTACGAGGTCCGAAACAGATATTGAAATAACTGTGGATAGGAGAAGAAGAGTCAGGACAAAGAATAATAATTCGTCTTGTCAATTGTGTTCCAAAGTAATTGAACCAGCTTGTGTGGACTTTGACGTAAAACGATTATTTAAAGCTCTGGATACAACTGCAGTGATTAACTTTATATGTTTGACTTGTTTTAATATATTGTTTTAAAATAAGTGGACTGTGTGCTGTCCGTTTATTGTTGAAATTTATCACCAACAAGTCACAGATACCTACTGTAAGGAATCCGGCCCAACCATAACTACAAAAACCTGACACCTAGAGATACTTAAACCTGCAACCCTCTCTACATAAAGTACAAGTCACTCTACCTGTTCCTTAGAGAAAACATGGAGGTCTACTTTTGCAGTTATGGATCATTGAGTTCATTGGTTAATTACTGCCTTCAGTGAGTGACTGGCAGCCTGAATTACGCCTTCCTTTGTTTAACCAATACGGTTAAGCAAAACGCGTATGTTTTTTTTTCCTTTAAAATGCTGAAATTTCGTTCAGGTAAACTTTTATAATCACGACATAGAACTTCATATCGGAAAGTCTTGAAGTGTAAACCTCACGAAAATAGCCTCACTTACAAGATCAAGAGGGTATTCGAGAGTAAGGTGATTAATTATGCAAGACCATCATTTGTGAGTTTGCTACACAGTTAACCTGAAGTCTTACATGCACATACATCGTAACCGTGGTTAGCCAGAAGCTGTACTCATATAGTGCGTCGTAACCATGATTAACCGGAAGTTATACTCGTACAGTACGTAGTGATCGTGGTTAACCGGAAGTTGTAATCGTATAGTGCGTAGTGATTGTGGTTAACCGGAAATTGTACTCATATAATACGTAGTGATCGTGGTTATCCGGAAGTATAATATAATACGTAGTGATCGTGGT